CACTTTTCAGCCAAAAAAATGGGCTGAAAATCTCGGCTTATACTCGAGTATATACGGTATATGAAATTATTTTCTCAGCTAACCCATAGGAGAATTGTAAGCACACAAGATAGTTAATAACAGGTTGTTATCTCCATATCATACCTTGGGGAAACCTTCCTTTTTTATTTTAAAGGCAACAGGAAGACCGTTCGCTCCAGTTTGGAGGTTTAATCTCTGCGGTGTTCTGATTTATTACATTACAACGAAAGAATGGATGACATGAAAGCTTGTTTGTTCCATTTAACTTCTTCAACGCATATTGAGAATAAAACCATCACCAGCTAGAAGATGTGTCTCCGTTCCAGGCGATGTGTAACAATTGTTTCAGCCAACACACTTGTAGAACAAATGTAATTTTACTTTTAATTTTAATTATTTCAATATAGATTTACAAAGTACAAAGCGTGATCGGCTTTTTCTACACAGGAAATAGTAGGCTTTCATTAAATCTATTTTAATTTAGAATTATATTGTGTTGTTATCTCAAAAAATAAATTCATACTGTAAATAAAAGAAAAATATTTTTTTTATAACTTTTTCTTTATTTGACAAAATATTTTCGTGCTCCTTGGCTTTTCCCATACGGTTACAGATTAGGGAAATGAGTAAAAAAAACTACATTTCTAATAAATAAAAAAAAGAATAAAAAGATATGACAAGCCAAATGTTTTTGTTAAAGTGACACTAAACTCAGGCGTTAAATTTTAAAAACTCACCGCTCCAAGCTCACTCCCCCGGGATGGACTACAATCTCAATACAAATTAGTAAACTAAACCTGAGATTGTTACGTTAAACAAATGGCAGATATTGCAAATGCTGTGTTTTCACCCTACAGACACCAAGACATATCTAAACTCTGACCAAACGTTTCTGATAGAAGGTGTAAGAGAATTTGTTTCAAGGGCTTTATAGGTCTCTCTGTGACTTTCTGGTGGAGGTTTTACCTTAAGCTCTCGTTCACACCTGAACGTTTTGTAGCGCGTTCTACGCTCGACGAACGCTCTACAAAACGCTCAAAAATATAAATCCCATTGTATTCAATGGTCTCGTTCCCACCTTGGCGTATTTCCGCCCGTCCCTAACGCGCTACAAAACGGCCCACGCCTGAAAAGGTACAGGTACTACTTTGGGCCGTTTTGTTGCACGTTTCCATTGGGATACAGCCAAGTAGCCTTCGGAAACGCGCGAAAAAAAACGTGCGACAGACGCGCATATGCAATACGCCTAGGTGTGAACAAGACCTTATCCCCGTGATCAGAATGACAGGAATGGAGCAGAAAAACATGAATAAAAATAACACAAAATAACTAATTTTTTGTCTGGCATCTCAGTGAAGATATTTCCCATCAATTCCTCTTCTTCTGACCCCCCCCCCCCCCCCCCACA